TCAAGAGATTGGGAAATCGTAGTCTCGTTTGTGTTCGTTGTGTACTTTTCTATATTTGAGTTTTGCGTTCTAAAAAATCTTGGTAATTAATACTCTCTTTAAATCTTGTTAGCCTTCGTTGGTATACAGGGCAGCTCTTGTCTCGTGCTGAATGATTGAAGTCACTCAAATTAAATTTGTCACAATTTCCACACTTGTATTCGACTACATTACAGTTTTTAAATGAATGACAACCCCCACATTTATGGCAACATTCCTTTTGACTGCAATATTTTGCCACGTGGCCAAAGCCACAACAGCTAAAGCACATACGAGGTTGAAATGCTCTTGTATATACACAGTAGTCAAGTCAAAATTAATTTTCCCTTTTTTCAGAAACCACTTTGCAATGTGTGGTGATGCTTGGATTATCCAATTTTCTTTTACTGGATTTCTGCAGGTTCTTTTAGCTACAATTTTTATTTCTTGTGTTATATCTGTGATTGAAAGCCGATACAACTAGATTTAAAACTCCACTAAAGTAACTGCCCACTAATAAAACTAATATAACTTTTTAATCACAGTGATATTACAAAATACATAAACATGACAAAATGTGCTAAAAATATATATAATTATTGTTTGGGCAGTAATCTAGAGGCCGAATCTAAAAATAATTTCAAAGTGTGTAACTTAATAATAAGCAAATTTTAAGCTTCGCTCACTCTATACATAATTTATATTTATACGAATACAGTTTGAAAAGAAAATCTTAGTGAAAGATTACGTTTTAAAGATCTATAAAGATTCCAGATATAGACATATATTTACACTCAGCGCACCGGCACGAAAAACGGGCACATTAAAATTTTGATATATTTTAAAGATTTATATATTATGTTCTAGTGGACCGATTTTGACGATTTTAAGCAATTTAGAGCTAAATTATTTAACTTTTTAGTATCTCTTTCTAAAATGAAATTAAAAGTTTCCTTCTGTCAATTATACGAGGGAAAACAAAATATTGATATTTTGGTGAAAGTTTGAAACACCCCGTGGAATATGTTAGCAAAACGAGAAATTTAAAAATTATTTTATCTTCTAGGTACATTTTTTATCGATAGTTTGGTTTTTGATTCATTTCAATAACTTTATTTTTATTTGAGATATTCGTTTTTAAATAAAACAGTAACAGTCTACAGGAGTTTTAGCATTGATTTTGGGTCCTCATCAATACACATATAAAATATTTTTTTTTGGTGAGGGAGTGGTTTAAAAATCTACGTCAATGAGTTAAGAAGCTCTTAACTCACGCATTTTGAGTGAGTTAAAAGCTTCTTAACTCACGAATTTTCATTACCGCACTCTTTGTTTAGATGACTACCAAAGACAAAAAATATTTTGCAAACCTTTATTTTGCACTAAATTGGAAAATATGTTATGAGTACCTTTTCATTTCCATAGTTGTGTACTTTTTTTTTCGGTGCACCATTTTTCATACTTAGAGTATGTATATTCATACTTCTGTTTCAATCTTGCTGGAAGCAATCCAGAAATGGCTCTGAATGCCTCTTCTTCAATGTCAGAGGGAATACTTTCCAAATCGCTCATTTTATAAACTAGTGACATCAGTATTATTTACTGTCATATTGACATTGCCATGCATGGTGTTATTTGAACAAAGGTATTAAGGTAATTGTTTTTAGGATAGGTATATAGTTAAGAACTCAGTTAAGTACAATAATTTTTAAAACTCATTGTGTGTTTTTATAGTTAGATACAAGAGTTAGACGTAAATAAAATATTGTACAATATACGCGAGTGTATTGTACAATACACTCCAAATTTGTACAATAAACAAACCAAACTCCATTAAGATACTTGTGTGGTTACACAACTCGTACTACGCACTCGTGCAACTTTCACACGCATATCTTAATGATGCTATTAACTCACTTGTATCGTAAATATCTATTATAGACAAATAGTGATCATTCCCATGTGATCACCAACCCATCACCATCTCGAGAGTGACGCTCAGATCGACCCTAGAAAGTGTGGGACTTGGATTTAGTGATGGGAATAATCGAATTATATTCACCATCGAATAATTAGTAATAATTCATATTTTACAATCGAATTAATAATTCGAATTATTTAGTAGTATTATAAATTTAACCTAAAAATAAATTCGTCCCAGCTAGTGCTCGTCTAGGGGCTATTTTAAACAAATCTGAACCATTGCCATACCTATATTCTATCACTGAATAAAAAATAAAAAAAAAAATTCTTTATTTAATGTATTCTATTAACTGTGCCGAAGCCGTTTAATAAATTAAACCATAATTTAAAGTTTTAAATTTAAAAGTGCCGAGTTTATGATTGTTTCAATTCCTATTGAAAAGCTCATATCTAAAATAAAAGCTTCTTCAAAAACGATATAAGTATGTCCTTGTTTACGTGCGGTTCGTATTTCTTTTTATTTTATCAGTTGCAATCAATAATTATTTAGATAAAAGAAGAAAATTAATTTTAGTGTTCGGTGAAATTTGGGTGAGATGGAAATGAACCAAATAATAGTAGTATTCTTTCGTTCTGAACGAAATGAAAATTTTCACTTAAACTGATTTATTCCTACGTGGTATAGGAAATAACAATGATTTCTGGATTCCGATTCCCTTTCCCGAAAATTTTCAGTTCGTTCAGAACGAAAGAATACTACTAGTAGTACTATACTAATTACTAATATTCGTATTTGTCCATAAGAGGTTATGTTTTATGTTCATTTGTAATTCGGTTACCACAGATATAATATAAAATACTACTAATTTTTATCTCGATATATCGAAAAAGATAATTCGAATTAGTTAGTTTTAATTTACTATCGAATTAGTCGTATTATTTAATTCGAATTTTCTCAACACTACTTAGATTGTTACCCACTAAAAACTCCACCTCCGAGGAACCAGCTACCGTGTCGTAGATGACTACCATGGTCATCTATTACTTATAAAATAGTGATTACTGTTTTTGTAATGTCACTGTCATTGAAAAGTCATATTATTATTGTTTATTGACGTTTATGCTATTAGAAATCGTCGAGAAATCGTTTTAAATTCTGAAATATCAGCTATTGCTGTTTTAATTGATCATGGTAGAGATCAACTTTTGAACATAAAATCATATCTGCTAGAATAACTGCACCATAGACAAAAATATTATGATTTTTTAAACACAGTTACAATACATAAATCATGAACACTATTTTATAGGTCTGTTGACTAGGACCCAAAGCAGAGCAATGGTTTTAATGTAAAAAATACGAAAAAATTATAGTTTTGTCTTCAAAAGCGAATATCTCCAAAAAAAATCTATTGAGATGAATCAAAAAGTAAACTATCGAGGAAATATACTCCTAGGTGATAAAATAATGTCTACATTCCTTGCTTTGTTAACGTACTCCACAGGGTGTTCCAAACTTCCACCAAAATATCAACATTTTGTTTCCTTCGTGTAATTGACAGATGGAAACTTTCATTTTTAATTTAGAAAGAGATAGATACTAAAAAGTAAAATAATTTAGTTACAAATTGCTTAAAAAATCATCAAAATCGGTGCACTAGAACACAACATACATATATAAGTTTGAAATACATGAAAATTTAGTTAAGGTGCCCGTTTTTCGTGCCGGTGCGCGGTGGGTGTATCTACATACCAGTCAATGTCTAGATATAAAATGTATCTAGAATCTAGAACCATAACTGTATAAAAATAATGCCAATTTTCTAAAATTAGAGTATTTAAAAACTTGATAACAAGTAGTAAACTCTGATTTCAAGGTTGGTGTAGTAGCATATTGTTTTGATTAATGCAAATATGAGTCTGTTAAATGCAGAAAAAAGTCGATATAATGTGTAGTGCACCAAGTAATTCCTTAATAATAATTGAAACGAAAAACGTCAAAAGAAGAATCAACACTATTAACAGAAGAAAGTAAAATCAAAATAAATTTGCTAGAAAACACTTTTAAGTAAACATTGTATATTGCCTTGTACCTATATGCGTAAAATTATAATAGGTAGATATCTATCACAATCAGTGAACAGTACGTATTCAAGTTTCAAGGCAAATATGACTTACCTTGAACGTTAAAAAACAGTTACGCTTGGCTAAAAGATAAAATGTCGAGTAGAAAATTTAAAATAGACTTGTTTACTAAGTATGGTTCACTTACTTTATCTTAATGTTTTAAGTTTTCAGCATTTAAACATAGATACGATGTTTTAAAAATAACAATAAAAACTAACAAATTATGCAGTACCTACAGCTATACATTTTAAAAATATAAATTTTGTGTTTTGTTTTAATAATTAAATATAATTATTCAATTATTGGATTGCCGCATTAAAAGCTCTTTGCTGCATAAAAATATACCCATATTTAAAAGAGTTTTTTGTCAATGTGGTATTTGATCGTCGATCGAAGAGATTGTTTAGGTTAGAATTAATTTCGGGAGACGATAATGCAATTTTATCGTCGTGTATAAAACAATATTTTTTTCCATAGGGAGTTACGTTTTAAAAAATATTCAGAAATTATTATTTCAAGGAATTTATTACGAGTAGAAAACATATTGTGCTGGGTTAGCGTTGGTTTCTATGTAATTTGACAAATAAATAAAGCTTTCTCATTAGTTGTCAGTTTTGAGTCAATATTTTTTAATTCTCTTTCGTGTCGATTGCTGATTGAATTGGAGCCAGAAATGGCTCAAAACGAAATAAGTAAATTACCAACAGATATTCAGACTGAGGCGACAAACGCCATATCCAAACTACTTCCAATTAAATCCCGAATAACTTATGAAAAGGAACATAAACATTTTCAAAAAATGGAAGCAATTAAAAAACGTGCGAGAAGAAATAAAGTTTTCAACCTATACTCGCTGTTAAAGTATCATTTAATCCACCCTTAAGCGATTAAAGTACTATTTTATCTACTATTTTTGATTAACTAAATCTTACCTTTTATTATACACTTTTCACTATTAGCTTTGTATTAGGTTCATTGTTTCTGCATAGAACCTGAAACAAAAGAGGTAGTTTCATCAGTAAAGAGTTAAATATGAACTAGAAATAGATAATTTATTATATAATATATCTGATAAATATAATAAGAAAACTCATTATGGACATGGTTTTAAACATTAAATTTTGTAACCTTGATTTGGACAATACTGATTTGGACATATTCACCGGGTGTTGACGTAACCGTGTCAATATTAGATATCTTATTCTATATTCCCTTGTATATCCTTATTCATATTTCTATAATAATTTTGACTTGGCAATTGCACGGCAACATAATTATAAAGGAATTATCTACTATTTCGATTACTAAGTAAATTTAAACAGTGACACCAGAACCGTTCTGCTTCCCAAGTGGAAACCAACTTAAAACGGAACTCAAGAATCTGGAAGACTCCGTTTATAACCTGGAATCCTCGTCCTCCAACGGTCTAAGACACTCAAAGAGATATTTCACAGGACTACTGAGAATAGTAAAAAAATCAACATTTTCTTTGATTAAGTAATAACAATCTTTGAATTTTCACGGTTTTTTTAACAGGACACTGTCTCCTCAATGGACATCAAGTACCGTATGATCGAAAAACGGCGTCAGTGATGGCTATGAAATGAAGATCGCTGTCATTATATATGTAAAATTATATGGGAAATGTCAATGGTTGTCATTTCCAAGCCAACTGGATGCCGTTTTTTTTCGATCAACAGCGAATGCAGATTTTGTGGGGAAAATGGAGTAACACCAGAACACCTCATCACTGAGTCTACCGATACGACAATCCTTCGTGTCATAAACTTCAGTAAGACTGATATCGGAGATGGAGAACTAACTTCTGTAAAACCGTCCTAGATACTGGCTTTTGTCAAAACCCCGAGACTGTAGGATGAGTTATAACTCAAGAAACAAAATAGATATATAAGGTCTTCCCCCTTACTTACAATCTACAATAAAAAAATCACGTCCTTTACAAAGATGCAACCGGGGGGGGCATTGAAAATGATGAATAAAAACGTATATGATTAGTGTTAATATGAGTGTATTACATATATATGTTTAAATAACGAACTTAACAAAAAAAACAAATTTAAAGATTCACTGAAAAAGTAGTAGTGTTAACATTAAATAAAACATTATCAAAAATAATTATGCGATCGCACCTATCCGTAAAACAAGCAAGCAAAAAAACCTCGAAAAAAAAATAACATACAAAACATCAGGTTAACATGATGACAGATCATGATCAATGACAGATAAAGAATTCTTACGGAAAGTTACACTTTATGATATAATTTTTTAACTGTTAAAAGCAAAGCCCATTTAAACACAAAACTTTTTAATACCTACTACTGTATCTAAAAGACTTTTTTTAAATTACTAAATTCCTAGCCACGCTTCTGTTTTTCTTGGCTGTTGTGCGTCACGTCACAGATTAACAGGCCCACGTTTGCACCACAAGGCGATGCTACAGACCACTAGGTCGTAGCAATTTATGTTATACAACTTGTAGTCAATCTACACAAATATTATCAAAAACTTTTTTCTTTTAAAATGTGTTCAGATTTTGTAAAAATTATAAATCAAAATCGCAAAACTTAAATTTGATATGAGTTTTTAACTAATATAGTGGCGAATTACAAAAATTCCTTTTCAAGGGAAATTAATGAGTTAAATAAAATAATTTAATAAATTACTAGCTTTTTCTCGCGACTACGTTCGCGTTACACCTCGAATCGTTCATGCATTGATTTAAATGATTTTTTACTTCTTTATAGAGATTTTCATCTTTTTTTTTATTTATTAAGAGCACTAATACTCTCTTTATAGGTTATTTTTTATTCTTTGAAGGATAATTGAGGAAGATATATTTCGTTATGATGTCACTAAATAAACCCTTGTATAAAATTTTATACTGTCTGGTTTATAATGTTATAGTATTGCATTTTCGTACAGCAAACTTTCATTCTCTATTCTACTCCCTAAGGGTATAAATTTCATAAATTCGCTTTACCTTTGTGCCAATTTTTATGTGTATAATCCAGAAGTCACCAAGTTTTATATACATTTTTACTAACTTTACCCATTTGGTTGATGAATTTCAAAAATTTCTTCTAATTCTTTTTGTAGAATTTCATTCTTCTAGACCAAATAGTTAGGAATTTTCATACAACAAACTGTTCCGAGATAATTTTACTCTCTAAGAGGATGAATTTCCTAAAATCGCTTTGTGTAGCTAATTCACTAATGTCGTTTAAACGAACCTTTGTGCTAATATTTATGTATGTAAAGCTGGCGGCATGAACTCACTCTAAAATATCTAAAAACGTTATATATAATCTAACTGACACACCACTGACAATGACAAATAATTTATTTCTGGAGGTATTGTGTGTAGGTGTTTTTCAGGTATGTTTTAGTATTTAGTCGTTTTATACAAAGAAATAGCCATTAAGCACTATAAAAATACTTCATAACAAATCTACACATATATACTTTTCATTTAAAAAAAGAATCATCAAGATTGGTAAAGCGGTTTCGGCGGGATGGATGCAACAAAAAAACCCTTTGAGCTTTTATATATGTATGGATTAATTATTTTTCCAACATATTTTACTTTGCAAATTTTTATAAATAGTCAGACTCGCCAATATCGTACTCCGTGTCCAGCCTGTTTAGCCAAACGTAGGCCGATTCCTCTTCGACGGCGTCGTGACCCTGGCCGAAGGAAGAGTCTTGAAGACGCTCATCCGCGCATAGGAATAAGTTGACTGCGTAGCGTATTGCGTATTAATCGATTCTGAAACTTTCTATCTCGTGTATAACATGTTACGCAAGTTTATTAATTTAATCTCGATTTTAATAGATAAATGTGTGAAATGCCACCTGAATATCTTCGGCCATGACATGTTTTTACTTTTTTGTTATGGTAAAGTGATTTGTATAAACTTTATTCAATAACTTATATTTTCCTCCATTTGTGATTTTTTAATTTTAAGCGAAAATTAGTAAACCATTTTAGGAAAAAGAAACACTGTAATATTTAAAAGAATAAGAGGAAATTAGTCTTATTTTGAAAGGAAAATATAGAAAAAACTTTTTCTATAGAAAAAGTCTTTATACTAACCAGAATCCGGTGACATATACGCGGTCTCACCGGAAACATTACTTATTACTTCGCATAACTTGAAGAATATCTACTTTTAATAATGAACACTTTAGAAATACATCAGTAAAAACATTTATTATTTGAGATTGAAACTCGAATTAAATTATAAATATTAATTACCTATACTGTTATAGCTTTTATAGGCCTGTTTAACGACTTAATAAGTTACCTAGCGAAAAAATCTGTGCGCGTACCTACCACTATTGTTACAGGTTAATTCGTGAAACAAATGTGATACATATTATTCGTGGTATTATATTGGAATCAGCTTGGCATTAGTGGGGCATTATATGAGAAATTTTGGTATTTAATTTGTATTTTTGGCATTAGTATACGGACATTTGTCAGCGGTTTACTCCTTGTAGATAATCAAAAAGTTTTTTGATAAAAATTTGCTTTTTATGTCAGATCATTTCTATGAAAAATTACATTAGATTTTTATTAAAGACGCTGGGTAATTAAAACATTGACTAATAAAGCTTGTCCACTTTAAATAAGGGGTCACGAAATATCCTCCTTGGAGTGTTTGGGTTAAGGGGTGTATAATAAATTAATCGTTGTTTTATAATAAAAACCATAAAACATTTATTTGTGAGTAAAATAATGCAATGGTTGGATATCTCTCCTTTATAATTAGGTGACTAAAAATACACTAAAATAATTAGAAAAAAAATCTTGTACTTATTTAGTAATTACGTCAATATTAATTAATTGACTTTCTAGTCTATTTTATTTTATGTACAAATATATTATTAAATTTTAAGCATTAAGTAATAAAACACTTTGTGGGGGGGCCCTCTTATATCGTAAGAGGTTACGAAATATATTCCTGGTTACACCCCTTACAGAAAACAGTGTAAGGGGTGTAAATAAATTGTATAATCACTGTTTTTTATAATAAAAACTATAAAACATTTCTTATTTGTGAGAAAAAAAAAACAAAACAATGCATTGGTTAAAATAAGTAAATTCAATACATATGTATGTGTTATAACATAATATAGCCATTACTATTATACTATTATTATTAAAATAATATGTGTGTAACATATTTCTTTAACGAATTAACCTGTAACAGACATTTATATGCCCAGTATATTTTTGTTTAACAAACCAATCAGGAAAAATCCAAAAACCTACCGTTATAGGAGGTATAAGATGATTAAACTTATATAATGACAACTACTTATCGGATAACAAATTAATTACTACTGTCAGCTAGTTCAGCTACTGTCTAGGTAGAATATACCTAGAGTACCTACACCTACCTATGATGTAGGTAGATTAAAGCTTATTTTGACGTTACATCTCACTTCGGTGTCACAAGCTGAATTTTTCAGGGATGGAAGTACAGTACATGATATGGGGACCCTTATTCCGAAAGTAGTACAAAATTAGACCGGATGAAAGGGTCACTATCATCAAAAATCGATATATTAATACCACCGTATAGAGGAAACAAATACTTACTTTTTGATCCAGTACACAATAAAGTCTTCGTAGGGAGTAATTTTATATAATTATTTACAAAAAAACATTTCCATTGGCGCTTATGACCAAAAAAAACTTTAAACATGAATAATCATTTCAATCATGCGAAAATTTGGTTTAAAAATAGATTTTTTTTAATATAACTTTCATTTAACGAAAAACGAAGGCCTAAATGAAAAAAAGAAACAATTTAAAAGTTTCGCTTATGTCTTGACAAGGTACCAAAGCAAACCCCATAATTTTTGCTTTTAAACTAATAAAGATATATCAATAAACAATTAGCGATGTAATGGTTTTTGCGCGCGCTGGCCGACTGCCGCCGCTGCGCCGAGATTTCCTATACCCTTGTATATATG